TTTTGTGTTTTTTTGGGACTGAAGTTATTTTAATTTCTCTTATTTCTTTATCAGTAACTTCCACAAAACGGCTGGCCTGCCATTTTGCAAATTTTGGTTTTGTTATACATACATATATTTACATATATATATATATATATATATTGAGTTCACTAATCGCATTACAGAATATACTAGAAAATCCATGCATGCAGAAACCTCTCACCTTGCTGACAAAACCATTGTATTTTCTGAACATGAAGTATTTAAAGTAGTTGTCATGGTAGCATGATAATTTTGTTAGGAATGTTTTTACAAATGAAAAATGTCAAAAATCCCCCCAAAATATCACTTTTAATTACAAAATTATCAATTCCCCAAACATCTATATGTTAGGTATGTTATTATACGTAATATAAGCTTCAATTTAAGGTAAAATTCAACCTCAAACGCTTTGCAAGACATTTTAAAATGTTCTTTTTAAAACTAAACTGCCATTATCGATAAACTTTGAGTTTTAAATAAAATGATTTCAAATTTTCGCATTCAAACAACCTTGCTTTCTTAATATAATAAAAAAGGGTAATCAATAAGGAAACACTGAAATTATATCATAGTTGCCAACCCTCTCGCATCCTGCTGGAGACTCCAGCGCAACTTTGATTTGTCCGCATTTCTCCCGCATTGGCAATTTCTCCAGCATTTTTGCTGTATTCTCCAGCAATTTTGAACTAGGTCGATGTGTAATATTTTCAGTGAATGAATACAAACTGATTAATAGTTCTCATAAGTTTAATTTATCGTGAATTATGCACTACGCAATACTTCATGTAAGGAAAAGTGAACTTTTAGACCTAAGGACACTCTATTTGGATCCTGTGATATCCCTTAAAATACCAAACTGTACCAAGTGTTCTTGCTATCACATGTTAATATTTGCGCCATTATGCAGTAAATGTAAATTGTTAAACAAAGAAACGTTAATATGGAAAATCGTAAAAGAAAATCGTCTCACCACCAGCGCCAACAGCGGGTAAAGGAACAATATTCGGGACTCAGGCTAGGGACTTAATCTATTTGGCAATGGGGGAGGGGGGTATGCTCTTGTTTCTATTGGATGGGAATCTCCAGCATAAATTTTCTCTGAAGTTGGCAACTATGTATATGCTGTCTTTTTCATTTAAAATATACATAATGATCAACTTTTAAAGCTATTATAAAGCAAACAATACATCAATATTTTGAAACAAAACCTACCTTCATTAACGTCGATGACTTCACTCCCTTCTTTTAGCAATTCTTTTGCCTTTATTTTCTTAGAAAGCTTTTGAAATTCACAAAATCCTTGCAAGAAATCATCAAATCAATTAATCAAGAAATGTTTGCTATTTTGCTGTCGTCATAATGCAAATTTTAAATTTGACCAATCAGTGTTCGCTATTCATGACAGTCTGCCATATTTTTGAGATCAGTGAGGATGACCACCCACCCAACACTCCAACACCGTTGGTCGCCTGCAATCATTGATGAACTTTAGACTTCGCTAATGCTTTAGGTTTCCCAGGTGTAAATAGCCGGGTGGAATTAGTAACCTCGCCCCGGGCTTACGCCCAGAACTTTGGGGATTATAATACAAAAATACAGGAAGCTAAGACTATTACTAAAAGAACAATCATAAACAAGACACAAGTGGGGAATAAGGTAAGAAAGAAAAGTTAAAAATAGATAAGTACTGTCAATGTCTAAAATAGGCAGGCAATGACAAATTAATTATATTTGTTCTTGCCTGTTTATAGCAGACATTGAGAGTACTTATCTATTTTTAACTTTTACATGCATTTCTAACCTTATTTCCCCACTTTTGTCTTGTTTATGATATTTTTTAAGTAATTGTCTTGGCTTCCTGTATTTTTGTATTACATTATACTCTGTAATGCGATTTACATATTTTGCTTACACTTTGTTATGATTAAATCCATCTGATTGGGTTATTTTTGTCATGTGATGCTTTCATACTCTTAGTATAAAAGCCCGTGCATTTTCCTGATCCCTGCTAAAAGCTCTTGATGAAGGGCCTGCACTCGAAACGTCGAATTTCTGCTTGCTTTTTTCATGTAGTAATATAACCATGCAGCACAGCAAGTTCACATTGGCACTACCATAAACATGCAACTATAAAGCCCCTGGGCTTATATTTTTTGTAAGTGATTTTTGATGGGTTTATACAAACAAGGGGGGCTTATATACGACTGGAATGTTAACTAACTCCTTTGCCTGCCATGGTTTAGTCTTTCGGTTAGGTTGTTGGGAAATCACTACAGTGTGGTCTAGAACTTCTCGAAAGTTCACACCAAACCGCATGAAACATGGTTAATTGTATGCAAATATACTCGACACATGTCAAAAACACATAACATACATGCATAGTCTTAATCTGCACATATAGGAACAAAATTTGCAAAGGCAAACATATTCAAATAATTGACAATAATTTCTGAACAAGTAAACTACAGTGTGCATCAATAAAAAGTATAGCCTTTCAAACTCAAATTAACGATAATTATAAGTGAATGGATTGTTCTCAACTGCTTTGAGTTAATGATATGTGATGAAAACATGTCTTATTTACAAACGAGATCAATTATAACTTTGTTTTAATGCTGATTGGTTGATTTAATCATCACAATGTTTTTCCACCAATCAGATCAGTTTGTTACAGATTTTTGCACTGTGATTACAGAAAATTGCACTGTGATTACAAAAAATTGCACTGTGATTACAGAAAATTGCACTGTGATTACAAAAAATTGCACTGTGATTACAGAAAATTGCACTGCTGTTTGGGATTAACTGCACTGAAATCAACCAATCACAGTCGAGTAATATCTTTATGTATATTATTATCATAGTAATCAATAATCATAGAAATAAGCGTGTGGTGATTTGTTGTGCCCTATAGTTTGATACAATTTATAAACTTCCGGTAGTTAATTAGACGTGAAGAAAGTGTTTCTTTAGCTCTCGTTTGAAGACGAAATGTGATTTTATTTGTTTGAAGTCTTTCGCAAGACAGTTCCAAATTTCGATTCCTTTGTTTGCTAGGGAATGTTTTGTGTAATTTGTTCTTTTGTAAGACTTGTGAAGGAGCGATGCATTTCTGGTATTGTGATGATGTATCTCGTCGTTGGATACAAAATAATTATAAAATATTTCTGGTAAATTTTGTACTTTGTAGTATCTGAACATAAATAAACTAGTTAAATACTCATTTATTTTGTAGATGTTGAGTATCTTAAGTTTCTTAAATATAGGATCAGTGTGCTCAAAATAAGAACTAAACATTATCAATCTTACAAGTTTCTTTTGAATGGTGAAAAGTTTTTGAATATGTGTCTTATACGTATTCCCCCAAATAAGGTTACCATAGATGACATATGGATAGACTAACGCATAATAAATTTTGGAAATTATTGCGGTAGCTTTGATAATCTTTTTTGAAACTAGTTCTATATAATATTTCCATGTCAAACATTTATCTATCACAATCCCAACAAATGGTATGATATTGCAAATAATCCAGTGCTTATACAACTGCATTCAAACAATTATATGTGCTATATTTTATAATAGCTATAGAAATTAAAGCATCATGGACAGATAATTATCATCATAGAATAAAGATCCATATAGAAGGGCCACTTACGTCGGAAGCTTTGAAGTTTCTGTCCTCGCATATGTTGCATTACGCATGTTGGCCGCCATCTTCCTAGCCAGTCAATGTCATTTTACAAACAGTATAGTGTTTGCCATGTATTTTTGGTATGACATGGCTGTTTATGCATCCAAATGCACAGTCTGTTATTGAAGGTGGGTTTCACTAAGTGTTATAAATGGGGAAAGCATGTATGCTATTTACATGCACGTATTGAAGAGTTATACTTACAATAGGGGCCTGTCATAGTTGAATGAGCGACTACATAACAGTAAATCGCATGCATTTGCAACCAAACAGAAAATCTGAAACACAACTGTGTTTCCTCTTAGAGTCGATCGTTTAAGAGCAAAACTCTCCTATTGACAGATCTTTTAAGGCAAATTGTATTATTGCAAGCTAGTCTACCAGTACACAGTTATTGTGACTTTCTGACTTTAAATATATATATATGCAATGGCATTGTAAGTTGTTTAGCCAGTAAAGCAATTATTAAATGCAAATTATTTTGATAGTTGAAATATTTCCACTTCCTTATACAGTACAGCAAAACATCAACTAATAGACTGTATGCATGAAGTAATTCAGTCACAATTCTTTCTATATCTGAGAAGAGCATGGGGAAAGTCTTTGAATCTTGCCACGAGAAATATTTGCGTATATGAGTATAACTATTCATTACAATCGATCGAGCTATAAGTTTGAAAGACCCGCTTTAACATGATGCACAAAAGACACACATGTATCGACATTCCATTTATTCAAGATTTAGTCCCATTCTGTCACAACCAATAACAACCAAACAACCAAGTATTTTGCGTAAGCATGCAACTTCCAAAGCGGCAACCAGTAGGAATCAGCAATTTTGCTTATGCTTACGTCTCTAATTATATTAATGAGACTATAAGTCCACTTTCATCCAAGCCTGAAAATAAGCGGCCGGTCACAGACATTGTCCGGTACGAAAAGGGGTACTGTCCGACACGACTGCTTTTTTGCCGGACATTTTGTCCGGCAGCATATCAATACTAATAGAAATAAAACTGTTTGCTACTGTATTAAAAAAGTACCGTATCGAACCCAATATCTTCGCTTGTATCTCTTTTATATGTATTTATTTTAATTCTCCTGTTTAAAAATGTATTTGAATAGTTTGAAGCCGAATGTATGGCACTCATTTTTCGCTTATTTTGACAATAATAACTGCCTGCTATTTTGTGCGCCCGCATTACTTGCGTACATTATCTGATGTACTTCGTGTAGATTTGAATTAAATGTATAACAACCACATGGAATTTTTTAAAGAAAAATGGCGTCTCGAATCACTGACTTTTTTGCAAGAAAAAATGCAAATTCTACAACATCTAATACCGCCATACCTGTACTTCCGGATGTAAATGACCGGGAAATGCCAAATCCGGATTCAAGCACGAAGAAACGTGTCTTGAAACTAGCGACAGTTAAGAGGTGGATTAACGAAGATCTAGCCAAAGATAATGGTAGTATTTGGATGCATTACGAAGCTAACAAGCAGGAACATGTTGAAAATCTATACTGCAAAATTTGTCAAAAGTATAAGGAGCAAATATGTACCATGAAAGATTTCTCATATGCCTGGATAAATGGGTCAAAAAACTTGAAGTTATCTATCGAATGCAAAAGATCATGCAAATTCGAAGTGTCACATTCGGGCATTCCGATTACACGCAAACGAGGTTAGGGCTTGCACTGGAGAATCATTACAGTTGCCAGAAAAACTAATTCCCGGACTGAAACAACCAACTGTTATCGAAGGATTTGTTCAAATGTCAGATATAATGAAAGAACAGATAAAAAAGAAATTTGAGCTTGCCTATTTCGTGGCGAAAAAGGAACTTCCTTTTACTATGTATGAAGATCTAGTTACCTTAGAGAAACACCATGGTGTTGACATTGGCAATGCATATGTAAATCGCATTGAATGTGCTGATTTTATTGATTACCATGGAGAATACCTGTCAAAAACACTGACAAACGATCTGAAAGAAGCAAAGTTTTACAGTGTTCTAACAGATGGAACAACAGACTGCAGTGTTACAGAGAAGGAACTTGTCTATGTACTGTATTTTAATCCAAAACAAACTTGGGAAAACATTGGGGTTATGCTGGCATTTCTTTGTTTGAAACATGTCAAGAAAGCTGATGCACCTGGCATTAAGTCTGTAATTGAATGAAGCTTTGCTTCTTTGGGTATCACTAATAATGAACTTTATTCCAAACTTGTTGGGTTTGGTGCAGATGGAGCTTCGGTGAACAGTGGTGACAAAAATGGTGTAAAAGCCTTGCTACAGGAAAAATCGCCATGGTTAATCTTCCAGTGGTGTGTGGCTCACAGATTAGAGCTGGCCTTGAAGGATGCACTCCAGCCAACCTTTTTCAAGCAAGTTGATCAGATGCTCACAAGGCTGCATTCATTCTATAGCAAGTCTCCTAAGAAGCTGCATGAGCTTAAATCACTTCATGAACTATTGAAAAATACATTTGACTTTGTTGAAGGTTCATTAAAGCCAAAACGAGCAAGTGGAACACGCTGGATTTCATTCAAGCTGGCAGCCTTAAGATTAGTCCTTGATAAGTTTGGAATTTATCTAACGCATTTGGAAAATCTGGCTGAACAAGAAGGAAATGCTGAAATTGTTGGGTACTTGAGAAGGTGGAAAACCAGTCAAATGCTGCTGCATATAGCATTCTTTATTGATGTGTTAACTCCTGCTGCAGAGTTATCAAATATTTACCAGGAAGAAGATATAGATATTGTGAGTGCTACCAGTGCTTTAAACAGAACCAAGCACAAACTTGAACTCTACAGCAACCTGAGATTACAAGATCTTCCTGCCACAAAGTATTTGCTGAGCAAAGTAGACAAACAAGGTGGTACTCACACATACCAAGGCATTGAATTCAGTTCTATTCAATTTGAAAGAGAGTTGGAATTGCTAAAAGCAAAGAAAGAAAAACATAATTACTGAAGCTGTGTGTGCTTGTATTTCTACTCGACTGGATGATTCTGGGAGTCCTACCTTACAGGACATTGCTGTTGTGCTAAATATTGAATCATGGATGGCAAGAGCTTCCCTGCTTCAGGAAGATGAATCAGATGATGGAAACGACTCAAACAAAGAAAATTCTTCTCACAAGTTTAATGAAGGGTCATTTGATGTCGAAATCATCAGATTGTTTGAGCATTTTCAACCTGTCTTGGATAATGCTGATGTCAAGTGCCCATGTACAGAAGTTGTTGCTGAGTGGCATGACTTGTTAACCTATATCATCAATTACCTACAGCCAAACAAGCACAACTACAAGAAAACGTGGAAGTTTGTCTTTCTGTCATCCTATGCAAAATCAAAATGGAAGAACATCCTTTACCTTAGTTGAATTGCTATTTTCTATCCCTGTGTCAAATGCAAAACTAGAACGCATGTTTTCAAATATGCAGAGAGCAAAAGTGGATTCAAGATGCTCTTTAGGTGAGCAAAGGCTGACTCACCTGCTAAGAATCGAAGAAGAAGGGCCAGAACTTGGTACCTTTGATGTTACCCCAGTAGTTGAACTATGGCTTAACAGCAAGGTTAGGAGACCTAACCAGAACAAAAGGAAGAAGTACAAGCAAAGAAAACAGAAATCAAAGAAATATTATGATAATGATAATTACACCAATCTCTTTTCTTTAATTGACAATACTGATAGTAGTAGCACAGAAGAATCAGATGATGTGATTGATGTCTCTGTTGAAGACATGGACTGAGATTCTTTGAGCACTATAGTTACTAGTATTTGGAGACTTGTGATATATGTGGATAATGGATTATGGGTATTCAATATCACAATATGTGCCATGGCCCATTACAAGGCCCATTATGTTATCAGGGACACATAACATATTGACATTATATATACATTCATCAAGTATGAGGTATTATACATTTATGTTCTAATTTTTGTTTCTTTCATTGGCATATTCACAGTAAAATAATAAAATATACTTTAAACAAATTAAGGGTCATCATGTGATAATATATCAAAATTACAGTGATTGTATATTAATAATTTAATATATTATAGTATATCATTGTAATTTTTTTATGTCAGGCACTCTTGGATATTTATTTTCAGGCTTGCTGTAATCACAGTGCAATTTTCTGTAATCACAGTGCAAAACTCTGTAACAAACTGATCTGATTGGTGGAAAAACATTGTGATGATTAAATCAACAAATCAGTTTAAAGCAATTTAGTTTAAAGAAGTAACGGTCACAGATTGCTTCAAAACAAAACAAACATGGCGCCGCGCTACACAAAGTAAAATTTGCCTTCGCGTGGAAAATATGGCTTTTATCTTTATTTTTAAATGGAAAAGCATTTACCTTAAACAAGACTGATGAAAATTACATAGTTGAGCAGAATTTTCAAGCTGTTAGCATTGTATAATGTGATATAACAAAGCCAGGAAAACTTTGCCAGTAGAATGTTCGCTATAAACGCGTAAGTTAAAACTACAATTGTCTCGAACATTTTTATGTAAATTATTAATAAGTAATAGCATGGTTTCTCGTGAAATTTGGATAAACATGCACTCGTGAGTTTTTCAAAGACCTCAAATAGCACTCGTCCTTCGGACTCGTGCTATTTTGAGGTCTTTGAAAGACTCACTCGTGCATGTTATATCCAAATTGCACTCGAAACCATGCTATTACCTATACAAACACAACAATTGAGTAACACAGTGTCATTACCAACTGTTCTACTTGAATTTGGGAATACACAAATTGTTAGTGTTATTGAAAACAGTAACAAAATATTTACAGACCTCTCAACTCTCACACATTCGGCGTGAGTCTCACGCAATTCGCTTCACTCTCACGTTCTCACGCCACGTTTAGTAAATCTCACGCATATGGCAGTTTCATAGTATTTTTTTTAAATAATATAATATTGTATTCTTAAATGCACATTATTAATCATTTAATATACGGATCGCAAATCGAATATATAATCACGTGTTATTGTTCCCTCGTGTTCCTGCATATTTGCCTGCAATTTGGATACAAAATAGTATGCATATGTAAATACGGCGGACAAAAGGCAGAATCAGTCGGAGCAGAATTCTATATGCAGGGCCGTAGCAACCGGGGGGCTGGAAATCATTCTTTTTTCAAAATCATGCAGACGTTTATCATTTTTAAGCTTTATTATATAGTTTTAAGCGGCTACATTATCCATGACAAACTGCAAAGAATGAAGATATTACCCACACTTTCCTGCAACTTATCCAATATATAGTTAATTAAATACACCTTCGCCCATTTAGTACTACGAAATTGTAAATTTCGACATACTAAAACGCTGTTTTCTGACTATCAGAATTCTGTCAAATCTTCCCCAAAGTCCAGGAAATGGCATTTCAGAGACTCTAAATTTAAAAATTTCCTCGGACCTTCGGCCCTCGCTTTCAGCCCTCCCAATAAAAAAAAGCTTCCTACAGCCCTGATATGTAAATTATCAAGGGCAAATTAAAGCTCATTACTGTATGTCGCAGAAATACAGTTATTGTAACTAAAGTGCCTTGTCTTAAAGGACGTTATTCATTATGTATTTCATTAATAAACACCAACTCTCATAATGTACGAAATGCCATTTCAGACCCCCGGACTTTTACAAAGGTGCCATCCACATCTCCAATCTCACTCTTAACTTCTCTGCAAAGTTGAGAGGTCTGTATTTACTATTTGTGATGTTAAGAAGTATGTTGAAGTGTGGCGTGAACAACATGCATGTGGAGTATTAAAAGTTCTTGATGAGGTGTTTGGTGACGTTGGTAATATTCCAGATTTGTCTGACTCAATGTGTGAAGAACTATTTGGCACTATGGATTGGGATGAAATTCATGATGACTCAAGTTTGTTTTCAATGATGGATTCACAGGATGAAGACATGGATGGCACCCAAGATAAAACTGGAGAAGGGTCATTAAATAAGAGCAGTTTTTTCTGTAATGTGAACCTTTAATTGAACTACTGTACTGTACTCAGCAAGAACATTTTCATGAAGGTAACTATTACTAACTTTGCTATATAACACAGTACAGTAATACTACATACTTGACTAGAAAATACATGCATGCAGAAACCCTCGCCTTGCTGACAAACAGACAAAACCATTGTATTTTCCGAACTGAAGTAGTTGTCATGGTAACACGATCATTTTTTAAGAATATTCTTACAAATGAAAAATCGCCTAAAAAATATCACTTTTAATTACAAAATTATTAATTTCCCAACATATATATGTTAGGTATGTTATTATTTTATTTTTTATTTTTAACAACTTTATTGGTTAATATTTATAAATATGTACAAATACATTTGAAAATAACCAATCGGCAAAGGCGCGAACGGGACTGAAGTACCCATGCGAGGCGCCTTCCCGTTAAAATATAACGTTAAAATAACATAGGTCAACATAAGACTAAATAGTAAATTATACTGTATGTAAAGCCAATTCTCAATGGCAAGAACAGTCACGAGACAGTGTCCATGTGCACGGGAAGTCTATGTCAAAGGATGCATTGAATAAAGTCAGGTATGTTTGCTTGAGTAATTGTTTAAATGATGAGATGTTGGAAAAGCCATGCACAGGAGCTGATTTGCAAATAGTGTTCCAGAGTTTGACAATCCGGTTGTAAAAGGATGCCTGAAAAGCGTTTGTCTTACAACGTGGAGCTTTCATAACTAAAGGAATCTGGCTGTGTCTGGTGCGGCCATGGCCTATAAATGCAATATATTTATTGACGTTCACGTCGATGTACCCATATAGGGCCTTGTAGAAAAAGGTTAGGTCTTTGATTTCTCTGTCGTAGCATAAAGGCAATAAGTGGAGCAACTGCAATCTTTGGTGGTAAGACATTTCTTTGCCTTTGTAACCGAAGATCCATTTGGTAGCTCGCCTCTGTACTCTTTCAAGCTTGGCTTTGAGCATGTCCTGCGCCGGGGACCAAACTTGGGTAGCATAACATAACTGTGACTTGACAAGAGATAAGTATAATGTCCGTCTCACTTGAATATCAGTTAACAGTGGGCAAGTTCTCTTAAGAAGACCTAATAACTTGTTTGCCTTTGCAACAATTACAGATATGTGATGATGCCAGGTGAGTTTGGATGATATAGTAACTCCAAGATCTTTCTCTTGCTGAACGCGGGTTAATATGGCAGAACCAAGTTGGTAATCGTAAACCACAGGATTTTGCTTGCGTGTAATGGTGAGAACTTTACATTTTGTGCTGTTGAATTTCATATTGCTCTGCTGGCTCCAGATGTTAATGTTGCTGAGGGCTTGCTGTAAACCCTCGCAGTCAGTCAGAGACGAGATGTTTCGATGTAATTTGGTATCGTCCGCGAACAGTGCTGTATTGGTACCATTTGGAATAATTTCAGGGAGATCGTTAATGAATATAACAAATAATAAGGGACCCAGGATACTTCCTTGAGGCACCCCGGAGGTAACAGGGACCCACTGGGATACAGCACCGTCGATCACAACCCTTTGAGTTCGACCGTTCAGGTAGTCAGTGAACCAGTCCAGGAGTCGTCCAGCCACGCCGTAGCATTTTAGTTTCTCAACAAGTATTTGATGGTCAACCGAGTCAAATGCTTTGGCAAGATCAAGGTACAAAACATCCGACTGGGTGTTATTGTCAAGATTTTGACCAATGTTGTGAAGTACCGAGAGCAGTTGTGTTATACATGAACGCTTTCTCAGAAATCCATGTTGTAGTGGAGAAATTAGTTGAATAACGTCAGCGTACATGTGATTGTAGACGCAGCGTTCCATGACTTTACTCACAATTGATAGCAGGGAAATAGGTCTATAATTTTCGGCTGGTTCTTTGGAGTTTTTCTTGTGGACAGGCGTGACGTTGGCAGATTTCCACTCGGAAGGAAAGCGACCGCAAATGAGAGAGTGGTTGAAGATGGTACAAAGACTTGGTGCAATTTGTTGACTACATTCCTTCAAGAGCCTAGAGGGTACACAGGACGAAAAAATAGATTTGCTCCAACTTTGCAACCCCCTGCAAAGGTGCCATTGCCGTAATCGCATCAAATTTGCTATTGTGCAAATTTTGTTCAAATTTGGAAAGCAAATTGGTAAATAAATTTTTACCCTCATATTGGTAAATACAATTCTCTTTTTTGAGAAGGAATGGGTATAGGATAAATTTGGCTCAAATTACCTTTCATTTGCACAAGTGAATTTGTGGGTATTTTCGTCCATAATTTGGTTTCTAAATTTGCCAAAATTTTGCAACCTTGCAAATTTGATGCGATTACGGCAATGGCACCTTTGCACCGGGTTGCAAAGCCTAGTGCAAATCTGTTTTTTCGCCCTGTGTGTCCTGTCTGGGCCGCAGGCTTTTGTTGTGTCCAGGGAATTTAGACAATCCGAGACCTCTTCAACACAAAGGGTAATGTTGGATAGTAGCATGTCCGTCTTTAAAGGAAATGAGTGGCTTGATGTAACTTCATTGACCGCATTATCAGTGCTTGGATGTGAGAACGTTGAAGAGAAATATTGGTTGAAAAGGTTTGCTTTTTCTGATGCAGTTTTAGCTGTGGCACCGTCATATATAATTATGGTGCTTGGACTAGTCCGATGATGGAGAATGGCTTTGTGATAGCTCCAAAAATGCTTAGGGTTACTGCTGAGCGAGTCTTCAACTTTAGCTAGGTACTCGCAATGTTTTCTTTTGATGAGACTCTTGACGTTTTGAGTAGCTGTGCGTACCTTTAGCTTTCTTACAACGGTTTTCGATTCTCAAAATTTTCTCAGAACAACATATTTCTTATGAATTAAGTGACGCACTCCTCCGTCGATCCACGGTGGGGAATTGGTATCCTTGATTGTTTTAACGGGAATGAATTTGGCTACTGCTTTTGAAAACAAATTCTTCCATTTTGACCAGCAAACATCAATATCGTCTGAAAGATCAATGTCCAGGGGTTCACGAAGAAGGACGCTGCGTAGGTCATTGAAATTCCCATGCTCATAATTGTAGGTCGTACGCGTAATTGGCTTTGCTCGTTTAAATCTTAATTTAACCCGAAATTCTATAATGTGATGATCTGTTGGGAAATTATGTTCTTCAGGAGAGACTGCAGTAACATTTTCGATAACCTCGGGGTGGTTACACAATAATAGATCAAGCTTATTACCAGCGATATGGGTAGGACCTTTTATGGATTGATGAAGGAAATTGTCGTCCACAAAGTTACAGAAAATGTCATCATCCGCGAGTCCTCTGGCATTCAGCGGTGCAGACTGATCTTCAGACCACGAAATGGTGGGTAAGTTAAAATCTCCCAACAGGACGATGCAACTGGACTCAGGGGAGTCTTGAAGTGAAGAGTTAAGTTGGTTTAGAACGTTGGGCAGGGATTGAGGAGGACAATAGTATGTATACAGTAGCAATGGCTTACTACAACTTTTGTGAATTTCAACAGCGATTAGCTCAATGTTCTCCCTTTCGAGGTCTTCCTGACGGCGGCTTTCTATATTTGTTCTTACGGCCACTAGCACACCTCCACTGATCTGCGCTTGTCTGTTGCGGCGGTGGATTGAATATCCAATTAATTGTTTAGAACAGAATCATTTAACCAGGTTTCACAAAGACAGATGATGTCATAGTCGTTACTATAAACCAACTCCTGAAGTATGCACATTTTGCAAACTTTGCGTGAAGGGTCGTCATTAAGGGGTACAAAAGCTTTAATACTTCGAGCATTCAGATAAAGAACATTTAAGCCGGTAGAAAGGGCAGTACTAGGACCAGGATTGGTAGCAATATCGCCAGATAGTAAGATGTAAATAAGTGCATGACTTGAAAACTTGGTGGTCCGTAGTTCTATACCGTAGCGATGATATTTTGGGAGGTTGAATTTTCTCAAATTTGTATCTTGTGTAGAGATCCATACAAAACAGAGTTTGTCGGGGAGGATTGCAAGATTTGGACTAATTGCTATGTTTCCCAAAGGCGAGCTAGTGTCGGGATGATAATTGATTTGACTCGGTTGCAGTTTTAGACACACACAGAGAATTGATAAGAGAATTATAACTAGATTTTTAGCTGTTGCTAATGATTGTTCGTTAGCTATGGACATAGTTGATAGTTCATGAAGTGTCAAAATGATAAATATTCAAAATAATTTCACATAAATCGTTTCCCAGAGGCCAGAGAGAAATGTTTCACATTGACAAGGACAACATGCCAGATTAGTTAATATTTACACAGTTTATGTAAAAGAGGGGAAATCCCTGAAGTTAACACTTAAGAGGCAGTCCATGTAAAAACCGACCACTCGAATTTCTTAAGATTACAGATTTCCTTCAAACTTTCTGGGTGGAAGAAGTCATTCATAAAATGAACAAAAAACGTTGTCTTGGAAATTGTAGTCAGTTTTAAAAATTTTTTCACAATTATTTTCGGACGTGTTCGAAAACAAGTTAAAACGTTAATTACGCAAGTGATATTTGAGCTTTTTTATATCTCACAGTTCATCTCGCGCTTTTATTCTAACTTCTTGAAACTTACATATTTTATTATTTCCTGCCTAGGCATAAACACCTAAACTAAAAATTATCCTGATCACTTGAAGCAAACAAAATATTGTGTATCTTTAAAAAACGTCTTTCAGACAGCGGATTAAATACTCGTGTTAGTATGCTGGCGGTAAATTATTTTTTCTCAAAAGTGCAACGGTATCAGGTATCCAATCTATTGCAGCTACTGAGTATTATGACACATCTACTAGGATAAATAATAAAATCTTTGGGCAGTGTGTTTTTCGCTTGACAAGCGCGTCATGAATATAGTCAATTTTCGATAATTCGACTAATTATAAGCTATAATTTGTTAATGTATTCACTTAAATTTTTCGCGTTAAAAACGTACAAAACTGTTTACTGTTTCAAATATGGCTCTTTTTTGGATAGAGAGTAAGTTATAAATATGCCAGCAATTATATATGCTTGAAATTTTACGTGTATGGCTATCATTAAATACTACATGCATGGTATATATAAACAAAAATGTATAAGAAAAGTGCGGGAAAGGATATATGTGTGCCAATTTATACGAATGCCTTGAAGGAGCACTTTTTTTCTCATCATAGATATAGTGCAGATTTATTTTGCCACTATAATATGAAACAAATATTTTATACATGTTTAATATTTTCATGTTTTTTAAGAACTGCAATTACATGCTGATCTCGGTTAAGGTCCTGTCACACTATTGCGTATGAGAGAAACGTATGAGTAGCGTAAACCATGCGTGTGCATGCATATATACGTCCGCATACTCGAAAAATTTTTAACCATGCTTACCTTGCATGGTTCCTCGATTTTTAAATAGACACCTTACGATTTAGGACAGCAACGGCTACAAATACAATAAATAATTAAAAAGAATTTAATAATTGCAATATATGAAAATTTAGACATTGTCCTCGCTTTGTTTACAACGCCAAATCACAGATTTTCACGTCTTGATACAATTACGGCTGCATTTCAAGCCGCAACAAGTGCAACTTCAAACTGGCTTCAGCAGAACTCTTCCCAAACATAAAACCCATTAAATTCATACGATTGTATTAAATTCATACGATTGCTAATATACCACGAATTGTCTTTATGCTTTTTTTAAGAAAATGGCCTTGTTCGCCATTATTATTGCCATTTTTGACCATTATTACAAATTTTCTGATGTCTTCAAAGTGAAATTTGAAAGAAAGACAATTAGAAACATTACAAAACCAAATGTTATAGTTAAAATACAAAATTTCATAACCAAACTGCAAGTTTTTCCCGCATTACATACACACTTATTAAATATCCAAACTCATGCAGCTATAAAAGTTCTACGGCGGAAGCCAGGGGCAGGGCCGAAGAACGCCAGATGTTCTGGGTACAAAATTTTGAAAACATGCTTTCAGTTGCACTTACTGATTTTGTGCTGTTTTCCAGAAAGTTGCTATATAAATGCTTAATGCGCACTTTTCCAAAATAAATTTTATGGGGAGGGAAAATCTAGCAAATAATGGCATAATGGTATTGGCCCGCCAGCCCGCATCCACTTTAGGAGAAGCTCCGGATGAGAAACTAATATACAACAATTAGTGGGCTTTAATACTACCATTTATTTGAGGGAGTTTGTTTTGGCTGTCGTCGTCGCG